TGGAGCTGACTTCCTCTTAACCTTCTTTTTAAAGATTGTTTTTGAGCTGGGTGGTGGCGGCAGACACTTTTGAGGGGGGGCAGATCTCTGTGAATGAGATCAAGCCCAGCCTGGTCTCCAGAGTGAGTTCCAGGTCAGCCAGGGCCACATGGAGAAACCTGTTCCAAAAAACCAAAGGGGAAGCCAGGCGGTGATGGTGCATGTCTTTAATCTCAGCACTCAAGAGGCAGACACAGTTGGATCTCTGTGAGTTCGAAGCCAGCCTGGTCTACAAAGTGAGTTTCAGGACAATTAGGGCTGTTACACAGAGAAACTGTCTCTAAAAACAAAAAACCAAAGGGGGAAATTTTTTTTGAGATTTATTTTTACTTTTTAAAATGTGTGTGTGTGTGTGTGTGTGTGTGTGTGTGTGTCTTACGTATGTGAGTATCCTGGGAGGGCAGAAGAGGGCATCAGATAACTTGGTACTTGGGTTGCAGGTGGTTGTGAGCTGCCTAATGTGGGTACTGGGAATTGAACTCAGGTCTGATGAAAAGCAGGAGGCACTCTTTACTGCGGAGCTAGATCTTTCCTGGTGTCCTGGGATTAAGGGGGTGTGCCCGCCACATCTGCTGTTCTGCCCTAATCTATTGTTTGGGGGGTTTCATTTGTTCTCCTTTTTCCAGGGCTTTAGGTGTATCATTAAGTTATTGGAGATTTCAGGTTGGAGAGATGGCTCAGAGGTTAAGCACTGGCTGTTTTTCTAGAGGTCCTGAGTTCAACTCCCAGCAACCACATGGTGGCTTACAACCATCTCTAGTTGGGTTTGATTCCCTCTTCTGGTGTGCAGGTGTACATGCAGAGAGAGCACTCATATAAAGTAGACAAATAAATAAATCTCAAAAGAAATGTATCTGGTTATCTAGTGTAGTCAATTAGAACTCCCTGAACAGTTCAGATTCTGTTGGATTCTGGGATTTAAGTCTCCATCATTTCATCAAGGACTTGTTTGTTGTTCAATCACGTGCTTGTCTATCCTGTGGGAGTTATTCTGTGCGCTAGCGTTTCTCTTCTGGTTGATGTGTAGTTTTATTCCATTTTGATCATTTCAGCTTTCCTAGATTCGTTAAGATCCACCAAGTCAGCAAGGCTGTGGTGGCACACACTTTAATCCTAGCACTTGGGAGGGCAAGAGGCAGGAGGATCTCTGTGAGTTTGAGGCCAGCCTGGTGTACAGAGTGGGTTTCAGACCAGGCTCTAAAGCTACACAGAGAAATCCTGTCTCAAAAAAACAAGAACAAGCCGGGTGGTGGTGGCGCCCGCCTTTAATCCCAGCACTCAGGAGGCAGAGGCAGGCGGATCTCTGTGAGTTCGAGGCCAGCCAGGTCTACAAGAGCTAGTTCCAGGACAGGAACCAAAAGCTACAGAGAAACCCTGTCTCGGGAAGAAAAAAAAAAAAACACAAGAACAAAGCAAAGCAAAAAAAGTCCACTTTGTCCTAATACATGAACTATTTTAATGGAAATTCCTGGGGCTGCTGAGAAAGTGTTTAGATAGGATATTCTGTAGATGTCTGATACCATTTGATCTATGGTGTCATTCAATCCCGATGTTTCTCCCTTTTTCCTGTCATTTGGTGACAGCAGCGTATTGAAGGAACCCCCTACTATTGTGCTGGGTTTTACCTGTGACTTTAGATCTAGTAATACTTGTTTTCTAAGATTGGGTACAGGTTTTCTTTGAATATTAATGTCCTCTGTTAGGGCAGTTCCTGCAGAATGCTGCAGCTGGTTGACTCTGGTGTGTTAGCACCTCACTTTCATCTGCCTTTTGTGACCACTCCCTTGTGTGTCTGGAACCTTCTGTTTGAAGTATGTAAATCTTACTGAGAGTTTCCTAAAGTTCAAAGCCTATGCAAAACTTGGTTGCAGGAGGATGAGGCAAACTGAGTTGTCCCGTGGTTTTGGAATATGTATTGGCTTTGTCTCTTTGAAGGATACTTGGTTACTGGAGGACTCAGCAAACAGAGATGTTCTGAGGTTTTGGCATACGGGAAATTTACTTGCTAAAGGCGTAAATTATATAACAATAAAAAAGACCTTTGCGCCTGGCAGTGGTGGCACACCCCTTTAATCCCAACAGTCAGCGAGGCAGAGGCCAGTGGATTTCTGTCAGTTCAAATCCAGCCTGGTCTACAGAGTGAGTTCTAGGACAGCCAGAGATACACTAAGAAAAACAAAAAATAAAAACAAAAACTCTGTCTCCAGCCACCCCCCTCAAAAGGCCCTTTGCAAAGCTAGAGTCAGTCAGTTTATCAAAGGCTACTCCCCTGCAGCTGGAAAAATGGCAAAGCATCCTAGAGGACCTGTTTCTTCTTTCCTTGGACCCACACGAACCCAACACCAGAAACAAAGGTCTTCATATTGAGTTGTTCCCATAAGCAGTACAAAGTGACCTTCTTTCCCCCTTGCTACTTTTTGCTTTGAACTCTGTATTTCCAGGTATTAGGACAGTGACATCTGCTTGTCTTATCGATCCAGTTTACTGGGAACATCTTTTCCCACCCTTCTGCCCTCACAGTGTCTGTTTTGTGTGTGTGTGTGTGTGTGTGTGTGTGTGTGGTGTTGAGCTTCTTGTAGGAAACCTACCTTATGATCCAGTGTACTAGTCAGGGTCTTTTTTTTTTTTTTGAATTTTCGAGACAGGGTTTCTCCATAGCTTTGGTTCCTGTCCTGGAACTAGCTTTTTTTTTTTTTTTCTAAGATTTTATTTATTACATATACAATACAGTGTTCTGCCTCCATGTATGCCTGCATGCCAGAAGAGGGCACCAGATCTCATTTTAGATGGTTGTGAGCCACCATGTGGTTGCTGGGAATTGAACTCAGGACCTCTGGAAGAACAGTCAGTGTCCTTAACCTCTGAGCCATCTCTCCAGCCCCCTGGAACTAGCTCTTGTAGACCAGGCTGGCCTTGAACTCACAGAGATCCTCCTGCCTCTGCCTCCCAAGTGCTGGGATTAAAAGGCGTGCGCCACCACCGCCCGGTTTAGTCAGGGTCTTTTGATTGGGCATAGAGACCCCCCCATGTCCACAGCTAGAATTGAAAGCTACTTCTTGCCAGGCAGTGATGGCTCAAGTCTTTATTGCCAGCACCTTACGCCTGCGTGTGCATGTGTGTGCGTGTGTGAGTACCTGGTCACTGAGGTCAGAGGAGGGCACCAGGTCTCCTGGAACTGGAGCTGCAGATGGTTGTTAGGCTTCATGTGGGTGCTAGAAATTGAACCTAGATCCTTTGCAACAGCAACAAGTGGTTATTAACTACTTAGCTGATTTTCCAGCCCCGGTTTCAGAACTTGAAATACATCATTCCAAGTTGTTCTGGCTTTTCAGTTTCAGGTAAATAATCTTGTGATACTCTGATGGATGAGGCTTTCCTTTTGAATTGGCGTTTTTTTCTCTTGCCACTTCCACATGCTTTCACTGTTCTGTATATGTGATGTTTTAACTGTAATACGAGGAAGGGAAGTTCTGTTCTGATTTTGTCTCTTTGATATACTAAATGCCTCCTGGTTAAATCTTGATTGGCATCTTGCTTCTTACTCAGGGAAATTTCCTGTGATTTTTTTGGAAGTGTTTTGCAGGCTGTCCTGGAACTCACTGTGTAGACTAGACTGGCCAGGAACTCAGAGATCCATCTGTCTCCTCGTGAGTGTGGGGGGTTAAAAGCACCACTCCTGCCCGCATGGTTATAATCCCATCAAGTTCACAATTGAAATTAATCATCAGTCTCACTGGGTAGACCAGGCTGGCCTTCAAATTCACGACAATCCTTCTACCTCAGCCCTCTGACTACAGTTATGTGCTACCCGACTCGACTTCAAAATGAAAAGTTTTGAAGCAGAATAAGGTAAAAAGACCAATTATTAGATACTGATTTGTTGATTTACTTGGTGATTTACTGTTTGTACTGCTTATTTGCCTAGCACGACTTTCCTTGCTACCTGAAACAGAATGACCTGCTGAAACACTGGGTTCTTGCTCTTAGCTGACTGCCATGTATGTACTCTTATGTAACATGCCTGCCCCACCTGGTTTTAGATATAAAGTGAATATACAGTCTGGCCCCGGGATCGGAACCTTTCCGAAGCAGTCCCGGCTTATGTTTACCTCTCTTCCTTTCTCATTAGTATTGGAGTGCTTATTCTAGAAGGATTTCCGCGACCATTTTACGGAGTTGCATAGGGTGGTGCACACCGGTAATCCATCAATCATAGCGCTTACGAGGCTGAGGCCGGAGGGTCTGAGTCCAAAGCTAGTCAGTGCTGCACAGTGAGACTCTCTTTAAAGAAAGAGTATACTGGGTGATTGCTGACGCACCCACCAGAAAGAGAAATTTTATTGTAAACTTCCCGAGTTCTGGTAGGCCAATTACCATTGAACTGGAGGCCCTGCCCTCCTGGGGAGATGTTAAAGAAGTAAGTTACATTACTAGGGGCTAAAGATCAACAGGGGAAGTAGAGTGGGAAAGCCTGCGCCCCTCCAGAGCGAGAGTGCGAGGGCTCAGTGGATCGTACATCGGCTGTGGTCTGTTTTAGCCTTTCTTTTTTCTTTTCTTTTCTTTCTTTTTTTTTTTTTTCGAGTTAGGGTTTCTTTTTGTAACAGTCCCGGCTGTCCTGGAATTCACTTTGTAGAGCAGGGTGGCCTCGAACTAAGATCCGGCTGCCTTTGCTTCCCAAGTGCTGCGATTAAAGGCACGCGCCACCGCGCCACCACCACCAGGTTTGTTTTAGCCTTTCTGACGGCAAAAGCTTGAGGGGAGCTGATGGCCGGAAGTCGGAAACCTGCCTTGAGGCGCCTGGGCCAACTCAAGACTGCAGTTCCTCCAGAACCTCCGTTGCAGACCCACGCCTGGAGCAGAAGCACGCCGGCGTTTCTAAAAGCAGGCGTCTCTAGCCACGCCCTTCGCACGGGGAGTAGGCGGAGCTCCTGGCGGAAGGGCAAGGGAGGAGGAGGTGACGCGGAAAGCGGGCGCCGGTATCGCGCAGCGGCTGGCAGGAAGCTCGGCAGCCCCGCCGGCCGCGAGCAGGCCGGAGTCCCGGTGGCTGGTCGGGCTTCTCCGGGTGTGGGCGTGGGCGAGGCAGCGGTTCCGGCGGCCGCAGCGTTCGTCCAGGCAGCGGGTTAGGTGCCGGGAGCCAAGCACCTAGGTAAGCGGGAGCGGGGCAGCCCCGGCGTCCGCGGCGCTGCTGACCAGCCCTTCCCCACGCCAGCTCAGCGCCGCCCGAGGCCCGCACACTTCCCCACGGCCGCACCGCAGGCCGCCTAGTGGGCGCTGGTCTCCGGGGACCGCGGCCCTTCTTCCTCTGTAGCCAGAGCCTTGAGATCAGACGGCTAGAAAACCCGCTCCCCGGGCCGCTCCTCCCGAAGCCAGGGGACGCTTTGCCTGTAGATCGCTGTCAGGCTCCCAGCGCCTGCCTTATCGGAAGTCGAGGGGTTTGAGTTTATCCGACAGTTCTGCTTGCTGCTTGCTTTGGTTCCTTCCCACCACGCTTATGCATGGCACTCTTGGGCTTTAGGTTGGTGGGAGGCTACTTTTTTATTTTATCCGGGCTGGGCAATATTAACTCCGATTTCCACTGTGAGGCCATTCTGTTGGGGAAAGTGAGATGCTGAAAGGTCATGCGAGTTTGTACTTAAGAGTCCGGAGAAGCTGAATTGAAGCGCTAGTCTGCTATTTGGTATTGTTTTTAAATCACCGCCTGAACGTAGGCATGTTCTTATACCTGTACAAATTAGTTGGAATAATTGAATGACATTTTTTGAGGCTCTGGTTAAAACGCCATTTAAGAATATTCAGGGCACATGGTACATCCCTAATTATGCTTTTTGCCTCTTGTCCAGAATAAGCTTAGTATCGAGAAGGGTGCCAGGAAAGATACCAGGATCTTGTGTGGTTGGAACTTAACTGCAATCTGTGCTTTGAGTGTGCAGCATCCAAGAAAGCTAGTCACTCAGATGCTTGTGCTTATCGATAGCGCACTGGTATAAGGATAAATCATCAGTTTCTCCCATTCGGAGATAGCATTTGTGCACTGGGCTTTGAGAGAAGACCTAGGAGATGCCTCATTTATGTTTCGTCCTATTTAGGAGTCCTTTGCTCCTATATCTCGGATTCCCGATACTCTGCTCCTAAAACATACCATATGTGGCTCAGGCTGGAAGGCAGTTTGCTGTGTAGATTATGCTGGCCTTGAATTTACGGTTATCCCCATCTCTGTTAACTCCCAAATGTTGGGATTACAAGCCCAGTTTATACATCTTTTCTCTTTTTTATTATTAATTTTTTTTTTGAGACAGGGTTTCTCTGTGTTGCTTTGAAGCCTGTCCTGGAAATAGCTCTTGTAGACAAGGCTGGTCTCGAACTCACAGAGATCCACCTGCCTCTGCCTCCTGAGTGCTGGGATTAAAGGTTTATGCCACCACCACCCAGCTTGCTCTTTCTTTGTTGCCCCCCCATCTTTTATATTAAAAAAGCGTACATGCATATTTTGCCTGCATGTCTGCAGCACATCTTGTTTGGCGCCTATGGGGAGCAGAAGAGGGCGTTGGATCCCCTGGAACTAGTGTTATGGGTGATTGTGAGGCACTGTGTGAGTGCTGGTGGTAGAACACGTCCTCTTCACCACTGAGCCATCCACCCTGCCTTTCCATTTCGGTTTTCATAGTAACCTTTGCCTTTCTCTCCCATCTTTAATTTTACTATTATTATCGTTATTATTTGAACCCAAAGCATCACACATGCTAGGCAAGCACTGAGCCTGGTTCCCATGTCTTTTTGGTTTACTCCCTGATTTTGTCCTGGTGGTACTTCTTATCTTGTGGACTCTTTGAGAAAGGTATATGGGAGGTATATACTTTGATAAATCACCTGTCTGAAAACCTTTTTCCCTTTTCAGTCATTAGTTCTTAGGCAGGCCTAAAATTCTCTTGTTAAATAATTTTCTGTCAGAACTTTGAAGCCTTGAAGGCGTTTCTCCATTGCTTTCTAGTTTCTAGTCAAGTGGGGTGTGGCTGCGCTAACCTGTGTGGGGTCTCTTCCTGGATTGTTCTGCACTCTATGTATTGAGACAGAATCTCTCATTGAATGTGAACTGCCCATTTGGCTGGCTGGTTGACCATCAAGCTCTAGGGATCTGTCTTCTGCTACTACCCAGTTCTGGGATTATAGGAATGTGTTGTGCTCAGTTTTTAATGTGGGTCCTGGGGACCCAAAATCAGGTAGTGTGGCACCTCCAGCAAGGGGCTGGAGATTGAAACACACACACAAACATACACACACACACAGAGACAGACATGGGCCATCCTTGAAACATGAATGCCAATTTTATTGTGTTCCTGGGTAGCTTATATAGGGCTGTCTTTGACTAATGGGCACGCCCTAGCTCTCAGGATTTTTCAGCTGCAAGCCCACCAGAAACCACTCCTCTACCATCAGGAACTCATGAGGGCCTCGTGCCCAGAGCAGCTGCAAGCCCGGGAAAACAAGTTGTTTACTCTGGCAGGCAAGGGGTCATAGAAAATTCAGGGTCTGAGGGTCTGCAGTCCCCAACAGGTGGCAAGCATTTTTCCCACTGAGGCATCTCCCAGCCTCTACACCCCCAACCCCCACTCCGCCTTTTTTCTTTTTCTTTTTTTCTGAGATCTGAGAGTCTGGCTACTTGTGACCCATCTGCCTCAGCCTTCTGAGTACTTGGACTGTAGGAGGTGTAGCTACACCTGGGGCGTGGGCAGTCAGTTCTTAGCAGATCTTATTCTTTTCTATTTTTCCCATTCATCCTGTTTTTGTGTTTGTTTTTTTTGGGGCAAGGTTTCTCTGTGTAACAGTCCTAACTGTCCTGGAACTTACTTTGTAGACCAGGCTGGCCTCAAACTCAGAGATCCACCTGCCTCTACAACCCAGTGCTGGGATTAAAGGTGTGCGTCACCGCATCCTGCTCATTCTATATTTTTTTATTTGAAATTATGTCTAAAGAAGATGTCTCTTCTACCTGTTTTGTTACCCTTTAAAATTATACAGGGCATAGTGATACATGCTTTTAATCCCAGCACTCCAGAGGCAGAAGCAAGCTAATCTCTGTGAATTCGAGGTCAGCATGGTCTTCATAGCAGGTTTCAGGCCAGCCAAGACTACATAGTGAAACCTCTCTCTGTGTGTCTCTCTGTCTCTCACTCACAGAGTATTTATGTGTATGTTCTGGCACCACAGTGACATTTCAGGTTCATAGGTTCAGGCTGGCCTCCCACTGGACTGTGTGACCATTGATGGCATTGATTTCCTTGTGCTCCTGTCTCGGCCTCCAGAGGGCTGGAATTTCAAGTTTGAGTCACTGTGCTACCATTTCTTTCAGTAGATGAGTATTTTTTGAAACCAAGGTCTGGTTGTTAGGGTGCTTACTTTTTACTGGGATTGTGTTGCTTCATTGACAGTCAAGAAATATTTATTTGTGTATGTACATTGCCATATCTGTATCTGCATTAAACTCTGAGCTCATAGTGGTACCTCCAGCTTTTCTCTCATCATTTCATGCTTCATTATTTCTCTAGTGGTGGAAAGTCCAGCTTTAATTATCCACAGCATATTTTATTTATTTGCTCAACTTCAGGATACCAATAATATCAGAGTTGACTCCTACTTGTATGAAAAGACAGATTTGCTGTGCACTGTGCAATATCTGTATGCACACTTTGTCTTTCTTTAGTGCTTGAGCATGTTGTCCAAAATTGTTTTCTAAAGTTGTCTGTTAATTTTCTCCTTTTGTGGTGTAGTTGTATTAATCATTTGAAATACAGGGGCTAAGAGATACAACACAGTGGTGGAGCCGCCTGCTGGGCATTCACGAGGCCCTGGTTTAATCTCCAGTATTGCAGAGAGGAAAAGCAAGCACGCCAGGTTCATTTAAGATGTGAAGCATTAGGTTTGTCTAAAGCCAGACCGGCAGAAAAAGACATACAGAGAAACAGCCCTTCCCTCATCATTTCTTGCCCCTCCCTCCTTTGGAACTCATCTGAACTTCGCCTTCTTCATCTAAGGATAGATCCTGTAAATCACTGCATGCTGGTTGCTGAAGGAATCCTTGCCCCATTGAAGCTTCATTCAACCTGTAGATAAACTAGTTTATTCAACCATGCTCTTGCTGTGGGTAATGGTGGAATATTTGCTTTTATAGACAATGTTGCAACATTGTCTTTGCCTTGTCATTGTCCTAGCTGCGTTTTCTGTTCAAGTTACTTAAAGTAAGGTTGCCAGATCAAAGGATAAATACTTCTGTGGAATTTATGAAATCTTAACCAAATTCTCTTCCAAAATGATTACGTTAGTTTGGAATTCCATCAGCAAAGTTTGAAAATGCCTTTTTTAGTCAGGTGGCAGAAGCAGGAGGATTGCATATTTGAGGTAGGTCTTGGCTACAGAGTAGTGCCTTGGAAACAAAGTATCTTTTGGCTAGAGATATGCCCAGCTGTCAAGAAAGTAACTCGAGATCTCCAGAAGGAGACTATCTTACTGTTTTTCTATGTTTAAGGGCTATTTAGAAAATTTTATTTATGAATTGCCTCCTTATATATTTTTTCTCACTAGGTTATCAAGCTTTTTGTCTTTTATTTCTTAATTTAAGAGTTCTTTATGTATTAGCAATATTAGCACTTTATATGTCATGACTTTTTATATATATATATATATATATATTTTTTTTTTTTTCTTTTTGTTTTTTCAAGACAGGGTTTCTCTGTGGTTTTGGAGCCTGTCCTGGAACTAGCTCTGTAGACCAGGCTGGTCTCGAACTCACAGAGATCCACCTGCCTCTGCCTCCGAGTGCTGGGATTAAAGGCGGCGCGCCACCACTGCCCGGCCATATAGTTTTTTCTTTTAACAGACTTAATTCACTTTTATTTTTCTTGTATAAAAACCCTTATGTGACAGCCACGGCTGGAGCCTGGGTCCTCTGAACAGAGACTCTGGTGTGGGTTTTCACAAGATGGTCAGTGAATTCCTGATAAGGAGACTTGGTGAACACAGTCTCTTTCCAGAGGTCGGGGGTCAGGTAGCTGTAGGTCTTAGAGATGGCATCAAAGGTGGCCTTGGCAAAGTTGCCCAGGGTGGCAGTGCAGCCCCTGGCTGATGTGTAGCAGTTATCAATGCCAGCCATCA